TAAAAGAAATATAATGACACACATTACTCAAACAATTTACTACGGGTGAATTTCAATTAAACTGTCGCAGTAAAAACCTCAAGCCTGCCTTTCTTCTGGCCTCTGCCATTTTTGCACTCTTCCATCTCGTCCACAGTTCTCTTGCAGATTTTAATTTTGACTGATAGAGTTCTTCCAGTGATGTCTCAAGGCAAACTCTGTGTTGTTTAGTTTGGCCAAGGAAGTCATACGACAATCTGTTAGGTGGCCTGCATATTCTGTGTGGCCGTTGTGGGAGATGGAGATCAGGTGAAGTTTCACTAGACTGGTGTGATGAGGATGGCAGCAAAGATGATGCCGATAATGTTGGAGATAAAGATCCAGATGAAGATCAAGATGTAGATCGAGATGGAGACATTGTAGAGTGGCCCGATGAATCATTTGGATGTTAGGGCCTTTCTCTTTCATCTTCACTGAGCAGGAGTTTGTGTATTCTGGAACGAATGTTACGAGGATGGTGTCATCATTTGCCTCATCACTCATTTGTTGATTTTCCTGAGACGTAGCTTTAATTCCTGTCTCTGGTTTCTGTCGGGGTAGATAAAAATATCTCTGCTTCTGTTTTCTGGTTTCCTTCTTCTTTGGACTCCTCTATTCTCTCAAGTATGTTCTTTTGGTTGTCTTCAAGGGGAGAAACATGCATGGAGTCAGTAAGTTTCAGTGTAGCGTTCTCTCCTTGCCGGTTTCCTGACTGGCAACGATGTAGACAGGCAAGTTTCCATGCTTCGAGACGACAACATAAGGTTGTGGCTCCCATCTGTCAGCTAGTTTCTGTGTGCCTGTGATGTGTTTGCGCAGCACAAGAACATGATCACCAGGAATGGGAGGGGCGTTGTGTGATTCCCGGTCATAAAGCTGCTTCTGCTTAACTCGCGGCCTGTCAATAATGTTCTGTGCTGCTCTGTATGAGGATCTGAGATGTTCTCGCAGGTTATCAACGAACTTGTCGTATGATAAAGAATCCTTCTGGTTGTCCGGGGCAAACCCAAACATAAGGTTGATTGGTAAATTCAGATGGCACCCGAACATCAAGTAGAAGGGGGCGTGACCGGTCGTCTCATTGCGGGTGCAGCTGTACGCATGAGTCATTGCGCTGACATGCTGTTTCCAGTCACGTTTCTCGTTTATGTCAAGAGTTCCAAGCATATTGAGCAGAGTGTGGTTGAATCGCTCGGTGAGACCATTCCCTTGAGGATGGTACGGTGTTGTTCGACTTTTACAAATCCCACAAACTTTGCAGAGCTCCTTTATCAATTGGCCTTCAAAATTCCTTCCTTGATAAGAATGAATTCTGACAGGGAAACCGTAGTGTACAATGAAGTTTTCCCATAAGACTTTAGCGACTGTGTGTGCTTTCTGATCGCGGGTGGGGTAGGCCTGTGCGTATTTTGTGAAATGGTCAGTGACTATTCCTCCTTTCGATTGCTCAAGTTTGAGTAAGTCAATTCCGACGAGCTCAAGGGGTTCACTGGATGTGATGTTGACCAATGGAACCCTAGTCTTGGACAATGGGGTTTTTCTGAGACAACATCTCTTGCAATGCTCACACCAATGCTTAATATCTTCCGCCATCTTTGGCCAGAAAAATCGTCGCCGAACCATACCAAGAGTGTGTTCATATCCAAGATGTCCTAGATCGTTGTGGAGGCAGACTAGAGTCGTTTCCCTGAACTCTTTGGGCAGGACGAGCGTGTATGATGTTCCTCCATCTTGTGACTTAGTGGTTCGGTACAGACTTTCATCCTTTAGATGGAGCCTGTTCCACTGTCGCAAGTACAGGAGACACTCCTGCGACTCTTTCGCGCGATCAATCGATACAGGCTTCTTGTTCTGTTCTAGGAAGAGGATAATTCGGCCTATATCGGGGTCTTCTCGCTGTGATGTCATTATTTCCTCCTGTGAGAGATTAGGTAGATATTATTAAATATTTAACTTCCTTCTGCAACAGGAAACACTTCGACGGTTTCAGTTTGAGACCATGTTGGCGAAGACAGGATGTGCTCCTCAAAGGTTGCCGAGAACACGATGATACCATCAAAATAAAGCAGTAATTTCAAGTAGTTGCGATCACCAAAACAAATTTGCATTAGCCGTTGAAAGGTTGCAGGAGCATTTTGAAGACCGAATGGCATACAGTTACATTCAAAGAGTCCCATCAGGGTCGTAAATGCTGTCTTAGGTTATCTTTCTCGTCAACCTCTACTTGCCAGTAGCCAGATGTCAAATCTAATGAAGAGAAAAGAGTAGCGTTCCCAAGGGCATCTAGTGCATCCTCAATTCGCAGGAGTGGGAACGCATCCCGGACTGTTTTGCTATTCAGTTGTCGATAATCAATGCGAATCCGCAAAGAGCCGTCCTTTTTGTGTACTATCACGATGGGAGATGCATAAGGACTACAACTACGCCTGATACCTCCAGACTCCTCCAGTGCCTGCAGATGTTCTCATAATGCTTGGTACTGAGAGGGCGGAATCCTTCGATGTGGAAGACAAAAAGGTTGATGTAATGCAGGCGCACATTGTCAAACTGTATTAGGTTTACCTTTGACCTTGGGTGCATGATTTATTCATCTGTAGGCGTGGCCTATCGAGGCACCAGTTCTCGGACTGCGCGTCCAAAGTGTATACTTACCTAGGTCACTGTGAGCGCATCATGCTGTCTGTACACGTATAATGTATACACGTGTGTGGGTTTAGACACACAGCTTTAACCACAACTCCTGAGATGTGAATCATTGCTCGACATTTTGTTTTCTCATTGTTGGGTATTGCAGCAGAAAGCATTGATGATGTAAGCCTGAATTACATTGTTAAGTGACTGATTTGAAGCTGCAGTTCTGCTGCTGGTGATAGCCTATAATCTCGGCAGAGTCGTGAGTTAATCTTTCTAGTGCTAAAGTTTATAAGTGTGATTATTTTGCTATAATTTCTGCCAAAGTGTAGGCGGTTTTGTNAAAAAGAAATATAATGACACACATTACTCAAACAATTTACTACGGGTGAATTTCAATTAAACTGTCGCAGTAAAAACCTCAAACCTGCCTTTCTTCGGGGGCGTTGTGTGATCCACGGTCATACAGCCGCTTCTACTTAGCTCGTGCCTTCTCAGCAATGTTCTGTGCTGCGCTGTATGAGGATCTGAGATGTTCTTGCAGGTTATCAACAAACTCGTCGTATGATGGAGAATCCTTCTGGTTGTTCAGGGCAAACCCATACATAGGGTTGATTGGTAAATTCGGATGGTGCCCGAACATCAAGTAGAGGGGGGCGTGACCGGTTGTCTCATGGCGGGTGCAGTTGTACGCATGAGTCATTGTGATGACATGCTGTTTCCAGTCACGTTTCTCATTTTATGTCGAGGGTTCCAAGAATATTGAGCAGAGTGTGGTTGAATCGCTCAGTGAGACCATTCCCTTGAGGATGTTAAGGTGTTGTTCGACTTTTCCAAATCCCACAAACTTTGCAGAGCTCCTTTATCAATTGGCCTTCAAAATTCCTTCCTTGATCAGAATGAATTCTGACAGGGAAACCGTAGGGTACAATGAAGTTTTCCCATAAGACTTTAGCGACTGTGTGTGCCTTCTGATCATGGGTGGGGTAGGCCTGTGCGTACTTTGTGAAATGGTCAGTGACTATTAGGATATTTTCTATTCCTCCTTTCGATTGCTCAAGTTTGAGTAAGTCAATTCCGACGAGCTCAAGGGGTTCACTGGATGTGATGTTGACCAATGGAACCCTAGTCTTGGACAATGGGGTTTTTCTGAAACAACATCTCTTGCAATGCTCACACCACTGCTTAATATCTTCCGCCATCTTTGGCCAGAAAAATCGTCGCCGAACCATATCAAGAGTGTGTTCATATCCAAGATGTCCTAGATCGTTGTGGAGGCAGACTAGAGCCGTTTTCCTGAACTCTTTGGGCAGGACGAGCTGGTATGATGTTCCTCCATCTTGTGATTTAGTGGTTTGGTACAGAGTTTCATCCTTTAGATGGAGCCTGTTCCACTGTCGCAAGTACAGGAGACACCCCTTCAACATTTTTACGCGATCAATCGATACAGGCTTCTTGTTCTGTTCTAGGAAGAGGATAATTCGGCCTATTTTGGGGTCTTCTCGCTGTGATGTCATGATTTCCTCCTGTGAGAGATTAGGTAGATATTATTAGATATTTAACTTCCTTCTGCAACAGGAAACACTTCGATGGTTTCAGTTTGAGACCATGTTGGCGAAGATAGGCGAAGACTTTTTCAAGACGTTCGATGTGCTCCTTAAAGGTTGCCGAGAACATGATGATACCATCAAGATAAAGCAGTAATGTCAAGTAGTTCCGATCACCTAAACAAATTTGCATTAGCCGTTGAAAGGTTACAGGAGCATTTTGAAGACCGAATGGCATACAGTTACATTCAAAGAGTCCCATCGGGGTAGTAAATGCTGTCTTAGGTTTATCTTTCTCGTCAACCTCTACTTGCCAGTAGCCAGATGTCAAATCTAATGTAGAGAAAAGAGTGGCGTTCCCAAGGGCATCTAGTGCATCCTCAATTCGCGGGAGTGGGAACCCATCCCAGACTGTTTTGCTATTCAGTTGTCAATAATCAATGCAAATCCACAAAGAGCTGTCCTTTTTGTGTACTCTCACAATGGGAGATGCATAAGGACTGCAACTACGCCTGATAGCTCCAGACTCCTCCATTGCCTGCAGATGTTCTCGTACTGCTTGGTACTGAGAGGGCGGAATCCTTCGATGTGGAAGACGAAAAGGTTGATCATCAATCAATGGGATAGTGCGCTTGATTGTAGTTGTGTGGCCAAAATCCATGGAATTTTTCGAGAACACATCAAAGTTTCTCTGAAGGAGATCTTCAAGTTGCTTCCTCTGAGTTTCATCTTGAAGAAGAGCACTTGACAAATTGAGAGATGGAACTGTAGTGGAGACCTCTGCCATGGTGTTCATCGCTTAGCTGAGTGGGACATTAATACTTGTTTGGTTTTGATGCAGACACTCGACAGCTTCTGGACCTGATGTCAATTTGACAGTGTCTGACTACTTGTCTAACACCATTGGGTGAGGTGTGTCCACTCTCTCATCAACTTGAAGAATTGAAGAAGACGTGCCAGATGGGTATTTTTTTCTGATGATGATTGGTCTGGCTGATAGATTACAGAGTCAGACAGGGACTCGGCAGTTAGGGCCAACTTCTGCTACAAGACTTCTGACCTTTAGACATGTCCTATTCTGGGGAAAGCCTTCAACCACTGCTGTGTAGGTACCGTCTCCTGTGTATGGCGCCTGACAGATCACGTCAACCTCTTTCCCGGGTGGTACTGTACATGAAAACTGACCGATGTACTTTGTGTAACCAATTCTTCCTTGTTCATCACCTGGTTCAGATACTGTAGTGTTAATGAATGCGGTGGACCATGCCTTGTTCTTTGCTCGGATGGATTGCATGAATTCAGGACCTCTGGTCAAATTCTGGTCTCGTCTGGAAGCACGGATGACATTAGTGCCGATGAGCAGAGGTACACGCCGTCGGTAGTTGTCTGACGGGACGACAAAAGTTGGGATCTCCTTGTAGACAACGTCTGGGATCGTCAGAGTAATTGGAGTAACGCCAAGGTGGGGTACCTTCTGTCCATTAGCACCTTCAATGGAGATGTCAACAGGGGTAAGCTGAATGTTGCACAATTTGGGGTGTTATTTCTATAGATCTTCAGTAATGGAAGTGATTTGGGATCCTGAGTTGATCAGAGCTATGTAAGGTACACCATTAACTTCGACTGAATCTTCATTGGTGGGACCAATGAGCTTCTGATACTCTGGTTGACTTTGGTGCTTGGTTCTGGAGATGGAAGTAAGATTTATAGGGCTTTGGTGGTTGGTGGCTCCAGCTGCTTGCCCTGCGGCTGTGGGCCTTGCTGGTTTAACAGTAGACTTCGACATCGCCGGGCGATGTGGCCCTCTTGTCTGCAGTGGTGACAGACGTAGACACGATCATTTTGGTATTCTGCTCTTGGGCACTGACGAGGTTGGTTTTGCTTTGTCGACATCTGCTCGAATTTCTCTGCGAGTTGGTGTACGTTCAGCAG